ATGGATACTTATCCCCGTACGAAAATTGGAGGCATAATTTTAAGGTGCAAAAGTTCATACGGTATATAGAAGGACAAATCCACGGCAATATATAGAAGGACAAATTTTCAACAGTGTATAGAAGGATCAACTTGCAACGAGACCGGATTAAGGTGCAAAGACACTTAAATGTCCACCTTAAGATTGAAAAAGTATAGATCCTTAAAGGCAAACCCACGAAGAGGCCAACTTAAGGTGCAAAGAGACTTAAACGTGCACCCTAAGATTGGAAAATTATAATCCATTTTGAGGACAAACCCACTATGAGGCCGACTTAAGGTCAAAGGGACTTAAACGTCCACCTTAAGATTCAAAAATTATAGTTTCTTTTAAAGACAAAACCACAAAGAGGCCAACTTTTCCACCTTAAGATTGAAAAATTAGAAAGCGTCAACTCGAAGGCTTGGTGGACTTAACGACTTCGACTTAAACACTTGGAAAACTTTGAAGACTTTGCAGACTTCAACTTAAAGATCGACAAACTTGAAGATTTGACGGACTTAAAGATTTGGTGAACTTTGACGCTTTATCTTGAAGAGCGATGGACTTTTAAACTTCAACTTGAAAAATTAGCAGACTTGAAGACTTCAACTTAAAGACTTGGAGGCTTAAATACTTAACTTGAAGACCGACAAACTTGAGGACTTCAACTTGAAGACCAATGGACTTGAAAGCTTCAACTTGAAGATTTGGAGGGCTTGAATACTTCAAATTGAAGGTGTAGTAGACAAGAGAAATTCAATTTGACTTGGCATTAAAGAGTTCAACTTGAAAATTTTGGCTTTCTACTAAAAGACTACCTCCATCCATTAGAGATACCAATTTGTTGTGGAGGCTTGCCACCATTGAACCATCAATCTTTGATAAGGCACAAAGTCGAATACATCTAAGCCCAATTTTTTAAGTTCCAATCAAGTGGATTATATTCCATCATGCGTCATTCGAATAATGTTTGGGGTGACATATATTTTTGAACTCATGTGACTTGATTTAGAATAAAACTCTAAGCTGCCTATATACCTTAGTAAAGAGGATCAAGTCATATCGTAGTTCAGAATAGGTGAATTTTTTTTCTTAATGTCCGAACTTTTGCCTAGGCCGCCTATTTCGAGGTTTTCAACCTAGCAAAATTTTTTGGGCCGTATACAGTTTATACTTGTACAGGCCAAGAGTAACATGAAGTTTATGCTTTTGCGTTAAAGAGCGTAGCGATTTGCATTTTAAGCTTGTATTTTGAGGAGATTTACAACTTGAAGATTTTTCTCAAATTTGAAGAGCTTCATGACATGCAGTTTAGGCTCGTGCGTCCAGGAGAATAGCGATTTGCAGTTTAAGCTCGTATTTTGAGGTGCATTACAACTTGCAGTTTAGGCTCGTGCATTAAGAAGCATTATAACTTATAGTTTAGGCAAGTTGAGGAGCATTATAATCGGTAGTTTAGGCTCGTGCGTTGAGGAGCGAAGTAACTTGCAGATTTAGCTAAAAGTTGAAGATCTTTGGAACTTAAAGTTTGGCTCGAATTTGAAGAGCTTCGTGACTTGAATATTTAGATCAAAGTTGAAGAGCTTTCGGCATGAGTCTTTGCTCGAATTTAAAGATCTTTATGTCTTGAAGATTTAGCTCGAATTTGAAGAGCTTCACAACTTGAAGACTTTGCTCGAATTTAAATAGCTTTACAACTTGAAGACTTTGTTCGAATTTGAAAAGCTTTACTTCTTGAAAACTTAGTTCAAAATTGGGGAGCTTCATGACATACAATATAGGATCATGTGCCAGAAAGCAATATAACTTGCAGTTTAGGCTCGTGCGTTGAGAAGCATTATAACTTGCAGTTTAGGCTCATGCGTAGAGGAGCATTATAACTTGCAATTTAGGTTCGTGCGTTGACGAGCATTATAACTTGTAGCTTAGGCTCGTGCATTGAGGAGCATTATAACTTGCAATTTAGGCTCGTGCATTGATGAGCATAGTGACATGCATAGACTCTTCGGTTTCATTTTCGGATGAAAACTTGCCCCCATCCTCGATGCCTTGTTCTTCTTCTTGTTTGTCGTAAGACTCAAAGACAGGTAGCCCTTCATCTCCACTTGTGGACACACTTAGTTCCATATATTAGCGCGAGTTGCTAGTTCTTCAACTATTTTGGGCTTTATTTCTTGTAATATATAGCGAAGACCCCAATGCATGCCTTGAATACATATTTCGATTCTAGAAGTTTCACTAAGGCGGTCTTTGCAGTTGAGGATTAATCTCCTCCAGCGATTGATGAAGTCAATAACTGTCTCATCCTTTCATTGATGAGCGATTGTAAGTTCGATCATGCTTATGGTGCGTCTTGCGCTATAGAAATAATTGAGAAACTCTTGCTCCAACTGCTCCCAACTATCGATGGAATCAGATTCGAGATCTGTGTACCAATCGAATGCATTACCTTTGAGAGATCGAACAAACTATTTGACAAGATAATCATCATAAGTTCCAGTATTGTTGCAAGTTTCAACAAAGTGCGCTACATACTGTTTTAGATTTCCCTTGCCGTCGAATTGTTGCAACTTAGGAGGTTGATAACCAATATGCATCTTCAAGTTATCAATTCTTTGTATATACGGTTTTATATATGCGAGAGATAATTTGGACGACGACTCAGACTTATCTTTGATAGCCTCCATGATGAAATCCTTCAATTTCTCAATGGGAATCAGACCTTCAGTGGAGACTTGGATCTCATTGGTTGTTGTTGGTTGCTTTTTGGAGAAGTTTCCTCTCTCTTGTGACATTTGTAGATTTAAAGGTGTTTGTGTGGATTCTCCTTCTACTATGCTATCCAATTTATTTGTTAACTTGAAAAGTTTAGCATCTTGATCTTGCATGTGCTTTGACGCTTGGTTTTTGTCAAATTTGCAACTTGTTCTTTTACGGTAGAAGCTTCAATAACCATTGTTTGCATGATCGCCATAGAGGATGAAGAATATGGAGTAGCTTAGAGGTCACACTAATAGAGGTTAGAGTAGATCCAGTGCTCAAGCCATTATCATCGGTTTGCATGAAGGGTTTCTTGGACATAGATAAACTAAGTTGGGCAAGACCCTTTTCGATCCTTTCGGCGATGTCGTTCCCTTTTTGGGTCGTGCTTGCAGAGGATCTTGCTCCTTTTGAGGATAAAGATCCTAAAATAGGGGTTGATGTGGATGGCTCTTGAAGTGCTTGTCGTCCTAAAAAACTTTCTTTGCTCCTTGTAACTGGTCCAAAGCTTCCAAAGGTAACATCGAGGATGTTTTCCACATCAACATCGAACTTGGAATTAGCAACCGTAGGGGAAGTTGATCTGGAGTTGATTTTCTGTGAAGCCATTTCGATGTTCTTAAACTTTGGTGCTTGAAAAATTGAGATGAGATGTAGAGATTGTTCCATTAGGTGTGCTAGAATTTGTCGATAATAAATTTGCGTCAAGAAAATATAACCAAGACCAAAAAATATTGAAACAATTTTAGTATTTTATTTCGATTTACTTGAGAGTTACAATCTCGATGATTCATCTGATTCTTCTTTTCTAATATAAATTCAAGGCTTTTGAGCTTGATCTTGAATTTATGATTATTTCCACAGACGATGATTTTGAATTCAACTAGCACGAACTTTATTTTGAACTCGTACTCCATGAACCTTGATTTTTCTTCATTCTGAGCTTGAACTTGATTGCTTGAAGTTTGAAGCTTGTGGAGAAATTTTCGGCGTTTGATCCACGAGCTTTCTCTTGCTTCTTGTTATGATTTCTGGTGTCTTTTCTGAGTTATGAAGATCCCTATTTATAATTTTGGGAGAAAAGAGTTGTGATGAGAACAAATTCTTTCCGACCAATCAGATTAAAGCGTGACGATGCCGCATTTGATTGGTTAGAACATGTCACTTGCACATGCAACGCGATTTCATTGGCCTTTTAATTTGACTTGGCATGTCTTGTCATTTCGACACGTGACACGATCCTATTGGCTCTTCCATTTGACTTGGCATGCCACGTCATTTTACACCAAATTGGGCCCCTAGAAAGATGACATCTTGAGCTTAATAAAGTAGGCTCATCATTCGTAGTCCAATTAAGTGGACTAGCCCAATGAATTTAGACTTATTTATTTAATCCATATATATTGAACTTATATAATTAATTCAATTATATTAATCCAATAAATTTATTTGAACTAATATATCTTGAATTTAAAATATAGTCCAAATTCTATTACGGATTTAAATCCAACAAATTTTAATTATCTACACCTACAAGTAGGGGTGTTTATGGTTCGGTTTGGATCGGTTTTTCCCTAAAAAGCAACCAAACCAAGTAAGTCATTTTTTCAAATATTAGAACCAAACCAATTAAGTCGGTTTTTTCTCGATTCAGTTTATGTCGGTTTTTCGGTTAGACATGCACTACCAAACACATTTCGGCGACCACATTTTTAACGTAACACTATCAAATCAATTGCCCTTTGAGAAATCTATTATTTACCAAGATATATTGATGATAATTGAATCTAATAGTGATGAATAATTTAAGGACTCAATTAAAAATATATTATTTTTAACATGAAATAGATTCTTATACTTAACAAAAGAAAACTACCAATCAAACTAGAATGTAAAAGTAAAGAACTGTACTAAAAGTGCAAACGATTAACATTTACTACAAAATTTTTAAAACTTTGTATAAAAGTGTGTGTGTGTGTATATATATATATATAGGTATAATTCCAAATTTAAAATAGCTACTTCTATATTCGATTTGGTTCGATTTTTTTTTTTATTAAAATCAAAACTAAATCAAATTTGATCGATTTTTAAATTTTAAAACCAAAACCAAAATCAAAACGAAACCAAAATAAAAAGTATCCATTTTTTTTATTGATTTGGTTTGATTTTCGGTCTGGCTTTTGGATATTTAAAACACCCCTACCTACAAGTCCTTCCAAAAAAAAAAAAGAGAGAGAGAAATTTTGTCCAATGATATAGTACAAGACGCCAGACTTGACAGGTCTCATATCCTGCTCTCACCAATTTCCCATTGTAATTGAGCTTTTGCTGGGAAATTGGAAACCAAAAGATGAGCTGGTGGTGGTCTGGAGCTATAGGCGCTGCCAAGGTAATTACGTTAACTTCTCTCTACATCTCCCCCACTTCATCTACTGCAGTAATTCTTTATTCAACAATCTAATTATTTCTTAATTTCCAGAAAAAAATCGATCAAGATGATGCCCCAATACAGAAGTATCAAAGCGTTGCACTAATCATCGGAGTCACCGGCATCGTCGGCAACAGCCTCGCCGAGATCCTCCCTCTCTCCGACACCCCCGGTGGTCCTTGGAAGGTCTACGGCGTCGCTCGCCGTCCTAGACCGTCCTGGAACGCCGACCACCCTATTGAGTACATCCAATGCGACATCTCAAACCCTGAAGATTCGCAATCCAAACTCACTCTTTTCTCTGACGTCACTCACGTTTTCTACGTGACTTGGGCCAGTCGATCCACAGAGATCGAAAACTGTGAAACCAATGGGGAAATGTTCAAAAATGTACTGAATGCTATTATTCCCAATTGCCCCAATTTGTCTCACATCTGTTTGCAAACGGGTCGAAAACACTATCACGGCCCGTTTGAATTGTTCGGAAAAGTAGGACATGATACCCCACATCACGAGGGTTTGCCCCGTTTACCCGTACCCAATTTCTACTACACTCTTGAGGATATTTTATTTGAGGAGGTGAAAAAGAAAGAAAAATTAACATGGTCAGTTCATAGGCCCGGGTTGATATTTGGGTTTTCACCCTATAGCTTAATGAATATTATTGCAACTCTGTGTGTTTATGCAGCTATATGTAAACATGAGGGGTTGAAATTGAAATTTCCAGGAGTTAAATCAGCGTGGGACGGGTACTCGGACTGTTCAGATGCGGAATTAATTGCAGAGCATCAAATATGGGCGTCAGTGAATCCTAATGCAAAGAATGAGGCATTTGATGTAAGCAATGGGGATGTGTTTAAGTGGAAGCATTTGTGGGGGATATTAGCTGAGGAATTTGAAGTGGAAGCTGAAGAATTTGATGAAAAGAAGAAGAGATGGAGATTGGAGGAGATGATGAAGGATAAAGGAGAAATTTGGGATGAGATTGTGAAGGAGAATGGATTGGTGCCTAATAAATTAGAGCAAGTTGGAGGTTGGTGGTTTGTTGATATTGTTCTTAGTGGAGAGTGTCCTTTGGATACTATGAACAAGAGTAAAGAACATGGCTTTTTGGGTTTTAGGAACTCCAAAAATGCCTTCATTTCATGGATTGATAAAGTGAAAGCCTACAAAATTGTCCCTTAATTAGTTTGATTTTCTTTACTACTCATATAAGTTAAAGTTGTGGGATATATGGCTAAGTGGATGTAAACTTTTAAGTTTAGTCCTCTATTACACTTGAACACCGAAGAAAATATCAAATTTTTGTAGAAGCCAAGTGGAAGGAAAAGTTTAAAGAGATAAGACAAGTCCAGCAAGAACCATTTTCCATTTGATGAACAAGTGACTGGTGAATTTGCCTGGAAGAGAAAACAATATACCGAATAACACAAAGTGAAAGGTAAATATTACTCCACTTAGTATATTAGAAGTATTCACTTTGCCAATTATCGTATACAGAAAATGAAAGGTAAATAGTATACCAGAAGTCCTTGTGATCAATTGCCATATTCCGAAAATTTCGCCTATTTCTGTTATAAGTATTCAATTTGTCAATTAGATGAACGAGTTACTTGAAATTTTTGCCCAATAGGCCTAGAGAAAGTTCCAAATCTTTTTCACCCAATGGAAACTGATTCTCACACAATACTACCCACTATTCACTTAGACGTCAGTTGTGTTGATATGCAATCAGTTATACTGATCTCACTTATTCACTCTATTTTATATTTTTTTCAGCATTTTTTATATAGTGTTATTCGGGCTGCTAGCTCTACCACCATGTGTACCTCATAGACATATGTGAAGGAATTACCTATGATTTTTTATTGACTCTTATTTATTTAGAATGACTACGAAATACTCGTCATAACACATTTTCAATAATGCAGACATCATTTTTAGTTGTTAAAATATTAATATAGGTGGAAACTTAGCCATATCAGTCTAAGGTCAATTGTGAAGGTTGGGTGAACCTCTAGATATGGATTCTTCAATTCAAGAGTGGTACCATTACGTGAGTGACATATAAGTAGCCAAATTACATTTTAACACCAGTCAAAGCACATGTAACATTAGGACTGGAGAAAGGGAAAATTACAAAGAAGAAAAAATCAGACACGTCCTAGTTTACATAACCACAAACTAGTCCCTCATAGCAATTAATGTGGTTAAAGTCATGCTATCGTATCGTATGAAAAGAAAATTGCTGGTGCTACGGCATTGAAAAAGATATACGTATGTATCTTTCAGCTTAAAGTCAAGGGTTTCGTATGTCTTTCCTCATCGCTATCATTTGCAAAAACCAACTTTGCCACTTACAAAGACTATGAAATCTTGGTAATGATTATTGTCTACTTGACAGCGAAAATAAAAACTTTATTTTGCATTCGAGGTTTATACCACCTCATGATAATTTACTACAATTTGGTAATGAGTTGAGGTGAAAATATACACTAATCTATAGGTAATTCTAGATAAGTTTCTTTCCTTCTGCAACCATGCGGTACACGACATATTGAAACTTTTAATATATATATATATATACACCTGGTTTTTAGACAAGTGAATTAATTCGATCCTGAAATAATAAAAGAAATGAAGAAATATATAATACTTAGCCTTGATATGAAGATGAAATAGCAGAAATAGTAATTCCGGGAGCGAGGTTTCCGGACACAACAGTAATGAAATCTAAAAGTAAGAAGATAAAATTGTATAGAGCTTTGAATAGATTATAGTGTAAGTTTGCCAGAAAATTACTGTCCTTTACAATGATAGCCAAACTCACTATTTATAGTTGCACCTAGCGAACAAGGTCCTAGGATTAGGGGTGTACATATGTCGGGTTGATTCGAATTTTCTAATTATCAAACCAAACCAATTGTATCGGATTATTAAATCTAAAGATCAAACCAAACCAAACCAATAAAATTTAGGTTTTTTAGTCTCGGTTTTTCTTGGATTTTTCGGGGTTTCGAATTTTTTTTCATAAAGTATTCATAGTGCAAAACATAGAATTTTTGCTCCAAATATTTCTTTAATCCTGGTAAAACAGAACTATATAAGGTGTTTTTCAATAAAATAACATAAATATGAGATGAGTTATGGCATTATACTAAAATATTCAATAATAAAGATAATAAAATCACACAAAATAAATATTATTAATAAGCCATAATGAAATCAAACAAAATTGAAAATTACTAATAAGTTGCTAAAATAAGTACGACTAATAAGTACCATTATTTATATGACTAAACACTATAAAAGAAAAATAAGTTATGCATTTTATCTAAATCAAGGATAAGCTAAAAATTAGATATCCAATATTATTTTTATTCGTAGAACAATTGAATTGAATATTTTTTATTAGCATTAGCAATGATTTGGTTTTGGTTTAGGATTTATTTGAGTTACTAACATTTATGGACTATAAAATTTATTGGAGCATCCAAAAAATATAAGTCCAAGCTTGAAATAATACGTTAAAAGATAAAACTATGAAAAAACTTAAGAAATATTTATAAACTACACTACAATAAATATATTTATGTATTAAATATATTCAAAACGTCTATACATATAATGCCGGGTTGGTTTGGTTTCGGTTTGACTTTTTTTTAGTTAAAACCAAACCAAATCAAATATTGTCGGTTTTTTTTCTAACACCAAACCAAACCATAGTTAGATTTTTTTCTCGGTTTGACTCGGATTATGGGGTTGGTGCAATTTTGTCGGTTTTATTTATACACCCCTACCTAGGATCATGCCCTTCTTTAATGTCAATTATGAGGGTCATTGAAGAATGTGTAACGGTGAGCATAAATGACAAATTCTTTATTACGAGCAATGTACTAAATGCTGCAGAATATTCTCCATTAAATGCTACCGGGTGGCAGCCATTTATTGCATCTTTATGAGCATCATTATTCCCGATGACAATTGGAACGGTTGTCTTCGATTTTAGCTATCCTTTGTTTTCGGCTCCACGTGTCATTCTCTTATGCAATTATTTTACATAGTATATTTTTGTCCTATACAGATAGTCCCTCTGCTTTCCGGTGACATAACTTTGTCATCGGAAAGTTGATAGAAACATTCTTTTTGGACGAAATTTCTCTGACTCCCTCTGAAGAACTTGTGACAGTTGATTAGACGTACGTCTCTTCACATTTAATGCCCCGAACACGCGTCATTTCATAATTCAGCATAACTTTTGCCAGTTATCGAGGTAATTATGGCTACAAATTTAGCCGCATAAAGTTTTACTTATACGCATCACCCTCCTTCATTAATATCCCATAATTCTCGAAACTCTCCCAAACTCTCTTCATTCAATTTGTACTCTGTTCTTCAACTTTTCTTTAACTTTCTTCAAACAAGAAACACTTTTTTTTTTCTTCCATAACATACAATGGCTTCTTCTTCAAAAAATATCGGTTCCTCAAAGAACAAAAACAAAGCCGATAATGTCGCTCCTCCTATAGTGAGCACCATCATTCCTAGAAGTCTTGTCACAACTAAAGACTTCAAAGAGAAATTTCTTTCTGTTAGCCCTCGTACATGGGCCGTTAGTAGATATCCTTCTTCCATCCGTCTTTCCAGCATTCCTATTGTGAAGGAAGATTGTCATTGCCAGGATTTAGACATTATCTCGCTTGATCTGGAGGAATGGGTAACTTTACCCAAAAAGGGTTTTACGTACTTCTATATGTATCCCTTCACTTTAGGGATATTTTCTCTTAGCAGAGAGCTTGACTACTTTATTGTGGAGTTTTGCCTCCACTACCAAGTATGTTTGGCCTAGGTGAGTCTCTCTGTGTAGAGGACGATTGCTTGCCTTCAGTGCCTGTGTCAAGAAACGGGGGAAGAGCTATCCCTAGCTCACGTGATGAACCTTTATTCCCCTCAAGATCTTCCGTGAGGGGACGATTAACTTTAGTAAGCGAGGCCACCATGAATTGCTATCCAGCATGGATGATGATAATGGCCGTGGGTGGATGGAATAATTTGTTTCAGTTATCACCAGTGACATCATCCCGGCCTCGGCCCCTTCCTTCCCAGAATTGTAGAACCGCACTCGTAAGTACACGATTTCTTTCTACTCTTGTTAAAGATCCTTCCTCATAATGATTGACTTTTCTTCCTTTACCTACCTCAGCGACTCGGTGGGTTCCTTCTAGGTTTGAGGGCTTCAACTAATGGGTTCAGATTATTTTGGATGTTACTACACTCGAAACCCACTTGTGGAAAGAGTTGTCCCTGAAATATGGGTGGAAGGCTAAAAATCATAGTGAGCTGACCTTCATCTTGTCCTTACCTTTTCCTATGAGAAATTTGTTTGATCCTTTTCTTCTATTGAATATAGGTCTATCCCCGAGTTTAGTCGTCATCCCTGAGGAGGATGTTTGGGCTGATCTTGCTGACGTGACGAGGCTACTGCAGAAAGCTTTTTCACAAACATGCGTCTCTGGTCCAGTTTCTGGTGTAAATGCTTCTTCTCGGAGTCCCTGACCGAAGAACAAGCGACAAAAAATAAGGCATTCCGAAAAAAAAGAGGGAAAAGAATGCTGCCCCTAAGTCGTCTCCAGAAGTCATGGTGAGGAACTCTCTACCCGGGCCGGTCATAGATACCATGATGATTGACGATGAGTGAGAAGCTAGAGAGGATGGAGCTTCTCTACATAGACGAGGACGACCTTCCTCAACTCAACAAACTGCTCAATCTGTTGAGTTAGTTACACCAACTGAGGATGATGCCTCGGCGCTTTGGGGGAGTATGAAACAGGTGAAAAATGCCAACTCTCGTTTTCGGATCCCAATTTGTTGCGCCCAATACTATGGGTCTGAGTAACGGGTCCCTGCTGTCTTCGGTTAATGAGAAACCAACAACTAGCACTGTGTTTGTCGCAAATGCTTCTCTCTCTTCAATACAATCAGATTCATCTCTATCTTCACCAACTCTTCCACCAGCAATTGCTACATTATCTCCACCAGCCGCTTCTGTCTGAGAAGAGGATGTTCTTCTCCCCCAATCCCCAGTTCAAGGGAATTTGGGGAAAAATTATGTTACCCCTGGAGAAGATCTGCAAAGGAGGAGTAGCGTCGCTCTCTTGGTATCCATCGAATGTAATTTGCTATCTCGGCTGATGGAACTTGCTAACTATTTGATGCCTTTGGCTTCACAAAAATATTGGGAAAAGATGCAGGCTCTCTCTCGAGAGTGCTTGTTGAACAATGCCATGCACAACGCCGTAATGGTTCTGTCACGCCCCAAACCTGGGGAGGCGTGGCTGGCACCCGATGTCATAGTGGCCCGAGCGAACCACTCTATAACTTATTCCTTCCTTTTTGTAACTATCATGGGCCAGCATGACCACAACTCGTAATGTACAATTGTAAGTGGAAAAATGTTATATCAATGAACCATCGTTCATAAAATATGAATACATATGGGCCATCAAGGCCTCTGATATACTGTACATAATAGACTTGTGTCTACAAAGCCTCTAAGATTAGTTGACATAAAATGGGACAGGGTACCGACCTACCCATAAGGATGTGGTAAAACTCTGACACGGTGACTTATAGATATGGCTGCACTCCGAATGAGATGGAGTCTTACCGATCCTTTGCTGAATGCCAATATCATCTATGATGAAGGCTCGTCAAACTGATTGTCTATACCTGAATGGATGAATGCAACG